CTCCGCCACCTGCGGCAGGAGGCCCTCCACCTGGGCACACCTTTTGCAGGCCGGTCTGCTGCCTGTCCCTGCCCCAGGAGAGAGGTCCAGGCACTCCCTGCAGCCTGAGGTCTGCACTGCAGCCTCTCCCTTCCGCAGTTCCATCTGCGTGGAGGCATCGGCTGCCGCTGGGGTAGATGGTGGAGACCCCCTGGCTGGAGCTGCGGCCTTTACCCTCAGATAAGTGTCCACCATTCTGCCTTTAGGGTCGGGTAGGATGAGTGCCCTTGACCTTTGCCGATGGTCACAGAATGGTGCCCAGTTGCTGGGTTAGATGTACTCCAAGTGTCCCACTAGGCCCGTGGAATGCCCCTCCTTTGAAGAGGTGCCCTCCCTGCGCCAAAAAGTCCTTATTTGGTAGAATATTTGTGGAATGCAAATATAAAAGGAAGGGTCAGATAAATTCAACTAAAAGAATAACCAGCCATTTTTATAAAGTTTTTGGTTTCCATATGGAAAACAAACAAACAAATTAGGCTTAATCTAAGAAAAAAAAATCAAAAAGTCCTTATTTGGTAGAATATTTGTGGAATGCAAATATAAAAGGAAGGGTCAGATAAATTCAACTAAAAGAATAACCAGCCATTTTTATAAAGTTTTTGGTTTCCATATGGAAAACAAACAAACAAATTAGGCTTAATCTAAGAAAAAAAAATTATTCTTAATCTAAGAAGAAAAAAAAAAAGATTTATTAAGCAGTGGAATGTTCGAAGAGAAAAGGAAGACCCATCACCTGGAACTTCGAAAATTAGATTAGACAAGGCAATGAAGGATACCATAAAACAATGGATTTTTGTGGCAAAAGAAACTTTTCTGACACACTAACAATTCCGTATTCTGAGTTGCCTGAAATATAACTTAAGGGTAACATTATCATCTTTTCAAAATACAGATAGCAAACTTTTCTGAGATAAGCTTTTGCAAGATGATTCCAGTTAAGAGCAGATTTGCAATAATTTGCTGTAAAGGAGTAAAGAAAAATAACTGGAAAAATTGAGTAGAAATAACAAATTAAAATAGATGGTATATACACAATTAATATCAGTACTCTTTCACCAGTTTAACAAATTACTGCCCATCAGCAAAACCAAATTCCCGGTTGCTGTACATGCTCTTTGCCAAAGCCAATGGTGAGATCGCACAGTTTAGCCTACCTTTTAATTGGCTATATACCTATACTGCCTCTGTAATTTGCTCCAGGATAGGAACACTTTTCCTCGGTCCGTTGACCTGGAGTGTGCATATGCACACTGAATGCTGCTTCCATGGTGCAGAGCATTTTAACAGTTCCTGGCTCTGCACCCAACCCACACGCCTTTGCATCTCCTGAACACAGGACTGTATCATGTACAGCACATGCCTGCTCCATACTCCTCACACAACCACACCAGCTCTCCTCGTAGGCTACATTTCATTTTAAGATGTGAAGAGCTGTTTGTGTTGTCTATTTGAGCAGAATCACAAGCTGAGTCTCTGAACCACCCATGAATTTAATTGTGTTTTGTTGCACTCCAGAAGGCGTACTGGGAACGACCTAGCATGCACTAGGGTTACCATGACCACCTCATTTTTAGCAATTGCTGATGGAAAAAACCACACCTGACTTCTTGCAAAGGAATAAATAGCAGTAAGCGTAAGAATTACTGCAGGTCTACTTTTTTTGCATATAATATTAGTATTTACATGAAAGGTAGCATTATCTTTTTTATTAGCATTTTTCCTCCTACATCTCAGAAATAGTAACACTTCTGAAATCACCAGAATTCTGCAGGGGAGAGGATTATGAGATACAGAATAAGACGCCAAGCCCTAGTTTCCTTTTCCTCTGTGTGATCTTATGTAAGAAGTCCATGAGTCTTAGTAGAGTTAATCATCTGAGACTCACTGAAAGCTAAAAGAGCTCTGTCTTTAGAACCCAAAATCAGCCTTGTAAATAGCAGATACTGAGAATAATTTGAAGGGGGGTTTGTGTCAGCAAATATAATCTCTTTTATTTAGACACACTACTGGTCTAGATGTGTTGCTATCACTGTATTGTTATCATTGCAGTGGTAATCCTAAAAAGAACTTGTTTTAAATGAAATCCCTTAGGAGTTTCACTTTGCTCTGGTAGGATGTTATATTATTTGCATTTCTAAATATGAGAAAATCAGAAGCAATGGCACACTGAAGAGATGGATTCACCCATGGCCTCTCTTCCTCCTGCTCAATGGGTGTTCAGAATTGAGGGAGGCTCAGCCTGTTGAACTCACACAAGTGCCAAATGCTACTCACACAGACCTTAAAATTTCAGTCAGGATTGGACCGTACAGCTCACTACTACATTGATTACAGAATCACTGAATGGTTGAAGTTGGAAGGGACGTCTGGAGATCATCTGGTCCAAACCCTCTGTTCAAACAGGAAAGTAATTTAAGCAATCAAATCATTGTTTCAAAATTTGGAAATCTTATGAATATCAGTTACACTAATTACTGTTAGAAGCCAGGTGAAAATAGCCCATATGCAACCAGACATTTAAGGAAAGAAGTCCAAACCCTG